CCCACAACCAGTGTCACACCCCACAACAAGTATCACACGCCTAGATATTCCGCCCCCCCAGCTCGGGACGGGGAGCACAGACAACTGCAATCAGATTTGGGGTAACTCTTTGGCGAGGAGCTTCATACCCTTTTATCCAGGCGAAGAGAATGCGTCCAACCATGCCGGTGCCATCTACAGAGGAGAGAGAGCGGTCAGTGATGTGACACCGAGGAGGAAGGTGATACAATGGTGGGGGCCACGCACCTTTCAGGATCCATGTGACCGTGGCCGCAGCCACCGTGGCTGAACTGTCCCCCACACCCGATCCACGCAGGAGAGAATGAGTAGCCAACGATCCCGTCACACTGCTGGCAAACGCCTAGAGGGGACAAGGATAGACCAATCAGGGAGGGTAGAAGGATAGACCAATCAGGGAGGGGACAAGGATAGACCAATCAGGGAGGGGACAAGGATAGACCAATCAGGGAGGGGACAAGGATAGACCAATCAGGGAGGGGACAAGGATAGACTAATCAGGGAGGGGACAAGGAAGGACCAATCAGGGAGGGTACAAGGATAGACCAATCAGGGAGGGCACAAGGATAGACCAATCAGGGAGGGGACAAGGATAGACCAATCAGGGAGGGGACAAGGATAGACCAATCAGGGAGGGTAGAAGGATAGACCAATCAGGGAGGGGACAAGGATAGACCAATCAGGGAGGGGACAAGGATAGACCAATCAGGGAGGGTAGAAGGATAGACCAATCAGGGAGGGGACAAGGATAGACCAATCAGGGAGGGGACAAGGATAGACCAATCAGGGAGGGTAGAAGGATAGACTGGTCTGAGAGCATGAAATGACAGAAGTAGGGAGCGCTGATCATGGAAGGTGTAATAAAGGGGTGGGGCACATACAATAAAGGGGCGGAGCACAGAGGGAAGGCCGGCCTCTCCTCCGCAGTATAATGTACCTGGATGGTATCCCACAGCTGATAGGCCACGTAGTCGTCACTCACACTGTCTGGGAAGCCATGAGGAAGGAACAGAGACTGGAAGAGAGAACGTGGACAGGATGAAGAGTCCCAGAGACGGGGACACGGGGTCACCGGAACCCTAAGCCCGCAGAAACTTCCGGAGAGTCCCTGAACTCTGACCTACAATGTCTCTTATGTGTGTCACTCGGCTCCAATCATCTCTGTCCTTCCTTCTAGAGAAGTGACTACGTCTGTTCCCCATGGTCCCTGTGTGTGTGTTGTAGTCACCGCTCCAAGCTCCACCCCCCGGGATGGACTACAATCTCATGTTTAGTTTACTGATTTGTACTGAGATTGTAGTCCATCCCGGGGGGCGGAGCTTGGAGCGGTGACTACAACACACACACAGGGACCATGGGGAACAGACGTAGTCACTTCTCTAGAAGGAAGGACAGAGATGATTGGAGCCGAGTGACACACATAAGAGACATTGTAGGTCAGAGTTCAGGGACTCTCCGGAAGTTTCTGCGGGCTTAGGGTTCCGGTGACCCCGTGTCCCCGTCTCTGGGACTCTTCATCCTGTCCACGTTCTCTCTTCCAGTCTCTGTTCCTTCCTCATGGCTTCCCAGACAGTGTGAGTGACGACTACGTGGCCTATCAGCTGTGGGATACCATCCAGGTACATTATACTGCGGAGGAGAGGCCGGCCTTCCCTCTGTGCTCCGCCCCTTTATTGTATGTGCCCCACCCCTTTATTACACCTTCCATGATCAGCGCTCCCTACTTCTGTCATTTCATGCTCTCAGACCAGTCTATCCTTCTACCCTCCCTGATTGGTCTATCCTTGTCCCCTCCCTGATTGGTCTATCCTTGTCCCCTCCCTGATTGGTCTATCCTTCTCCTCGGAGACCACCTCACAGGGTGACTGGGCGGCCACTTCCTGGAGACCTCTGCGGCTGTCCTCGGAGACCACCTCACAGGGTGACTGGGCGGCCACTTCCTGGAGACCTCTGCGGCTGTCCTCGGAGACCACCTCACAGGGTGACTGGGCGGCCACTTCCTGGAGACCTCTGCGGCTGTCCTCGGAGACCACCTCACAGGGTGACTGGGCGGCCACTTCCTGGAGACCTCTGCGGCTGTCCTCGGAGACCACCTCACAGGGTGACTGGGCGGCCACTTCCTGGAGACCTCTGCGGCTGTCCTCGGAGACCACCTCACAGGGTGACTGGGCGGCCACTTCCTGGAGACCTCTGCGGCTGTCCTCGGAGACCACCTCACAGGGTGACTGGGCGGCCACTTCCTGGAGACCTCTGCGGCTGTCCTCGGAGACCACCTCACAGGGTGACTGGGCGGCCACTTCCTGGAGACCTCTGCGGCTGTCCTCGGAGACCACCTCACAGGGTGACTGGGCGGCCACTTCCTGGAGACCTCTGCGGCTGTCCTCGGAGACCACCTCACAGGGTGACTGGGCGGCCACTTCCTGGAGACCTCTGCGGCTGTCCTCGGAGACCACCTCACAGGGTGACTGGGCGGCCACTTCCTGGAGACCTCTGCGGCTGTCCTCGGAGACCACCTCACAGGGTGACTGGGCGGCCACTTCCTGGAGACCTCTGCGGCTGTCCTCGGAGACCACCTCACAGGGTGACTGGGCGGCCACTTCCTGGAGACCTCTGCGGCTGTCCTCGGAGACCACCTCACAGGGTGACTGGGCGGCCACTTCCTGGAGACCTCTGCGGCTGTCCTCGGAGACCACCTCACAGGGTGACTGGGCGGCCACTTCCTGGAGACCTCTGCGGCTGTCCTCGGAGACCACCTCACAGGGTGACTGGGCGGCCACTTCCTGGAGACCTCTGCGGCTGTCCTCGGAGACCACCTCACAGGGTGACTGGGCGGCCACTTCCTGGAGACCTCTGCGGCTGTCCTCGGAGACCACCTCACAGGGTGACTGGGCGGCCACTTCCTGGAGACCTCTGCGGCTGTAAGACAATGACATTCAGAGCTCTGTATGCGAGAGTCTGCATGGGGTGTGCACAAGGCGGGGTTCCCCCGATAGAAGGAAAGGGGGTGATCCCGGCATTGCTCGGTGTGTCACAGAGAAGACAGCTCGGGGGAGGGGCCAGTGGATCGGGACCACCAATAATATCCCTGATCTGAAGGGCCACTGAATTCTCTCCAACATAAGGATCACATGACATAAGGGGGTGGAGAAATTCGGGTTGGAGGCGGGCTCAGGCTGTAATGGGGATCCTGGGACCATATTAGGCCAATGACATCACCTGCGCTCACCCCCCCCCCGGGCCCCAA